ACATTAAATTTTGCCTTCAGAGAAAGTACTTGTCATAGAGACCTAAGTGTTCTGGTATGCTGGCCAGTATGATTATTTTTTTGTCTCATTATAAATTAATAACTAGCATTTGATGGTGTCATATAAGTCCCATAAATCTAGTTCATGTGAGTCTGACTAAAGATGGATCTGTTATGCTGAGCTGACAAGTCTGTTTCTGGGCTTCCAAGCCAGAGGGCAGATCCAGGCCATGACAAATTCTCCAAAGCAAACATATTATATATGAAGTCTTGTGGTATACATCCTGCCTGGATAAAATACCCTGATATGGCCTCAGAAGCCACACACACACGCACACACACACACACACCCTATATTAGCTATTTACTACCGTGTGAGAAAGTACTCCAAAATTTAGCAGCTTAAAACATTTATTATCTCACGGTTCTGTGGGTCAGGAATCCAGGGGGTGCTTAGCTCAGTGATTCTGATTCAGGTCTCTCTCCAGGCTGTAATCAAGATGTGGGCCCGAGTAGAAGGAGCCTGCTTCCAAGCTCACTCACGTGTCTGGTGGCAGCCCCTCTCTGGCTGTTGGCTGGAGACATCAGTTGTTACCACATGGGCCTTTCCGCAAGGCATCATATGATGGCAGCTTCCCTCAGAGTCAGCTAGCAAGAGACAGAATGTGAGCAAGGCAGAAGTCATGGTCTTTTCGTTTATCTAATCTCAGAAGTGACATCCCATCATTATTGCCATGTTCTACTCATTAGAAGCAAGTCACTAGGTCCAGCTCACACTCAAGGGGAGAGGTCCACAGGATCGTAAACACCAGGAAGCAGGGATTATTAGAGACCACATTAGAAGCTGCCCACCATAAAGCCGTTTTTGTATTCAAATGTGCAAAAGTATAATATTTGTCTTCTACAAGCAGCTCAATACTGCAGCTCATCAGAGCCTGTTCCATTGGTCCATGGAAGAGCAAATGTGCAAAAAGGCACCACCCTGTCTTCTGTACATGTCCCCCAATTTTCCTTCTTTGTTGCCTCCTCTAACATCTTTCCATCATAGATGTAATCATGCATGGTACTCAAATATTTCACAATCTTGTGGCAGGAGCATCAACCAGTCAGAACGGATGTTCCAATTCTTTTTTTTTTTTTAAGATTATTTATTTATTTATTTGAGAAAGAGAGAGAAAATACAGGTGGGGGGAGGGGCAGAAGGAGAGGGAGAAGCAGATTCTCCACTGAGTAGGGAACCCAACATGGGGCTCCATCCCAGGACCCTGAGATCATGACCTGAGCCAAAGGCAGACTTAACTCAGTGAGCCACCCAGGCGCCCCAAGAATGTGCCAATTCTTGTACACACCCGCTTCTTCTATCAGCCTATTATCACTCCATAACAAAAGCTTTGTAAACCTATTATCTTGAAAAAATGTTTGGAAAAGCACTGTTTGGGAAAAGGATGTCCTCAAGCAACGTATCTTCTGTTTTCCAAATTTGTATTTGCTTTTCAAATGTTGCTGGGGTCAGGGGTAGCATGGGCAGCAGAATCTGGGCTGTCTCAGCTCCACCAAGGCAGTTCCATTATTGATCTGTTCTGTGAACTAGCCTTCCGTGGTAAGATTCTGTTTCCAAAAAAGGTACCAAGGTCAAACATGTTTGAATCCACTGAGTTGTACACACTAACTGATGTTGGGAGCTGAGACGTCCTGCATCAACAGAAACTTAACAGAAGACAAGACTGTAAACTAATAACTTTACTGTGTGCTGCAGAAAACTGTTGTAAACCAAGTTACCTGGGTGGTTTGCTACCTGGACAAACAGCCATCTTATCAAGAAAACAGTTTGTTTACTAGGACCAATAAGTCACTTATCAGGACAACATTTTCCTTATAAAAACACACCTTAAGATCCTCACCTCGCCATGACCACCAATCCTAAACTATTATGTCAGGGATTTTGCTCAATCCCAACCAGTTCCCTACCTTGAAAAATCTACTTTAAATCATGAGAGCATAGACTCCAGAACTCTATAAAAATCTCCCCCGACCTTTCCCTTTGACTCTATCAGGTGGTGTTTCCCCATGCTGCAATAAGTAATAATCAGCTTTGCTTGGTCAACAGGTTTTTAAGAGTGGTCTTTGTGCAGAGTCAACAGTTGACCATCCATTCATTCAACAAATATTTAGTAAGCCCTACTATGTGCCAGGTACTATTCTAGGAGCTTGTCATGTATCAATAAACCAAACAGGTAAGAATCTCTCTACCTCATGTAACTTACACTCTAATGGGAACAAAGACGATAAACCAAACATAAGTAAGGAAATAAACTATATTATGCACTAGATACTGACCAGTTCTATGAAAGGAAACAAGGCAGAAAGGAATAGACGGGATGGGACCTGCAGTGCTGTGTTCAGTTTTAAGTGAGATGGTTTACAGGTCACCAAGAAGGTAAACTTTGAACAAAGACCTCAAGGAGTTGAGACATCATTGTGGCATAACCATGTGGCCATGTGGGTATCTAGAAGGAGAGTTTTCCAGCCTTAGAAAACAGCAACACAAGGGCCCTGAGTTGAGAGGGTCCCTGTTCTGCACAGTACAGAGAGGAGCAGCAAAGAGGCCAGAGGGCCTGAGCAGATAGAGTCCGGCAGATGAGGGCAGAAAGAGAGAATGGGAGACAAAATTCTGTCGGGCCTTGGGAGGACTTTGGTTTTACTCTGAGTGAAAAGGACAGCTGTAGAGGCATCTGAGCAGAGGGGGGCCATGATCTCACATTAGCAGGGTCACTCTGGCTGCAGCACAGAGAATGATGCAGGATGGACGCAAGGACAGATGCAGGGACAGACGGAGGGACAGATACAGAGACAGACACAGGGACAGACGCAGGGACGGACGCAGGGACAGATGCAGGATCTGATGCAGGGACGGATCCAGGGACGGATGCAGGGATGGATCCAGGGATGGATGCAGGGATGGATGCAAGGGGACCAGTTAGGAAGCTACTGAAATAACTGGATAAAAACACCATCTAGTTGAACATGGGGAGGGAAGTATGTTCTGAGGAGGAGGGGTTGCTTCTCCAGCCGATGAAAGCTGCTCAGCTGTTTTCTGAGCTGTTTTGGTTCCCAGGCAAGCAGGTAAGAGGGAAGGGAGCTCTGGAAAGAGCCCGCAGAGAGGAAACAACAGAAGGGAGGTGTGGTGCCTGGACATGCTCTCCATGCTCCAGCTGGTCCTGGGTCTCTTCACCTCATTGCCCCCAAGTCCCCAGCTTCGGTATACAGAGTCCATTTAAAAAATTCTGGATAGAGTCAACCAATGCAAATTAAATACAGACATTTGGAAGCTAGTGGAATCAGGTTTGGGTGCAAAAGGACAATGTATCTACCTACCCCCACATTAGACATTTATTTAGATATTACTATTTCTTTTGACTGTGATACTTTTTGGTGCATGGGAGTAACATCCTTTCCCTACTGGTTCAAAATGTTGTCTTTGCTATTTAGTTGTTCCCATAACATTTGAGTCTTGCCTAGACTCTTGTTTTAATTCCTTTTCAGCTTTGTCATTTCCAGTAGCATGCCAATTTTTTTCTTTTCTGTTTTTTAATTGTAGTAAAATGTACATAACATAAATTTTACCATTTTAATTATTTTTATTTTTATTTATTTATTCTCAGTAAGCTCAACATCCCATGTGGGGCTTGAACTCACAACCCTGAAATCAAGAGTCACATGCTCTACCAACTGAGCCAGCCAGGAGCCCCCTCCCCTAATTATTTTTAAGTGTACAATTCAGTGACCATTCAATTGCACAGTGATGTTGCAACCATTACTCTATCCATCTCCAGAACATCATCCGCACAGAAATTTGCACCTATTAAACATTAAATCCCCAAGACTCCCTCCCAAGCCCCTGGTAAACTCTACTCTACTTTTTTCACTCTATTAATTTGTCTATCCTAGGCACTTCATATGAATGGAATCACACAACATGTGACCTTTTGTGTCTGGCTTCTTTTACTTAGCATGATGTTTTCAAGGTTCATCCATGTTGTGGCATGATCAGAATTTCATTCTTTTTAAGGGCTGAATAATGTGTATCCATTTGTGTATCCATTCATCTGTTGATGGACATTTAGATTATTTCTTCCTTTTGGTTATCCTGAATAGTGCTGCTATGAACCCTGATGTAAAAGTATCCGAGTTCCTGCTGTCTGTTCTTTGGGAGATACACCCTGGGATGAAATTGCTACATCATATACCATGTTTCATTTTTGAGGAACCTTCAAACTTTTTCACAGCAGCTGCACCATTTTGCATTCCCACTGGCAAGGTAGGAGGGCTCCAGTTTCTCCACATCTTCACCAATACTTGTTATTTTCTCTTTCTTTCGTTTTTTCCTTTTTTTTTGAAAATAGCCATCCTGGTAGGTGTGAAGTGGTAGTTCACTGAGATTTTGATTTGCATTTCCTTGATGATGAGTGATGTTGGGGATCTTTTCATATGCTCATTGGCCATTCATATGTCTTCTTTTGGGAAATGTCTATTCAAGTTCTTTGCTCATTTAAAAATTGGGTTGTTTGTTTTGTTGTTGAGTTGTAGGAGTTCTTTATATTCTGTATATTAATTTTTATCAGATATATGTCTTGCAAGTACTTTCTCCCATTTTATTGATTGACTGTTTACTCTCTTGATAGTTTCCCTTGACGTACCGAAATTTGTAATTTTGATGTAGTCCAATTTATCTATTTTGTTGAATGTGCTTTTGGTGTCACATCCAAGAAATCATAGCCACATCCAATATCATTATGTGTTTTTCCTATGTGTTCTTCTAAGAGTCTTATAGTTTTAGCTCTTAGGCTTAGGTCTTTAATCCATTTTGAGATAAATTTTTCTATAGAGTATAAGGTAAGGGCCCAATTTCATTCTTTTGCATGTGGATATCCAATTTGCCCAGTATCCTTTGTTGAAAAGACTGTCCTCTTCCCCTTGAAAACAAAGGTTTCTGGTTGCTGTGGGTCCTGTCACAGTTCTCACCAGCAAATGCACGTTCTTCTCCTAACTCCTGTCACACACATCCACCGCAAACAAGCTATCTTGGGGATGTTCTGCAGAATAGCATTAACAGCATAGAGAGGCAAGCTTGTGATTGGCTATCAAGCAGTAACATGTTCATGAGAGATGCCCAATCTTTAAGGACTAAAAAGTAGTTCTCAACAGCATTCAGAATACCTTGTTGACCTTTGCTACCCGAAGGGGGTGTTTTGTAGAACCCCCCACTCCATCCCCTTAAGTCATAGGGATGAAAAAAAATTCCCTTCATTAGGGAAATGCAAATGAGTATCCTTCCACTGAAAAGGTGCATTGC